TAATAATCAATAACATTCAAAATTAATATAATTTACTTAATACCTACATAATAAATTGTGAAAAGAAGAAGTAATGATAAAAAAAATATGATTCTGATTAAATACATTAATTATTTTTTTTTTTACAAGTAATTAAAAATAATGTGTTGATCCTATTTGGTGAAAATCGTATTTATTTTCATAACTTACTGTAGTAATATCATTAAGTATGTCTTTGTTATATTAAAATCTGGTAATATAAAACATCACAAAATATAAAAGTGGAAATGAATAATTCAAAACCATTATTGCAACACATCTTATTAAAAAAAAAAACATGTGGGTGTGTATCTGAATTGATGATTCACATAACAAAACACAGTAACACYTTAAGAATTTTCTAATAGTTGGGTCAGGAATATTTAACATAAAATCAATTGAATACAAATGTTCATAATTATTTTGTTTGTGTACTCTCAAATTAAACATGGAAAGTATTTATATAGTTCAATAATTTATTGTATATTCAAATATAATCTTTGTTTATCAAGATAACAAACAATATGAATATGAACTAATATAATCAAAAGGAATAACTTTATATAAAAATAATTAAATTATAAACATTCATATTTATAGAATAAATGTGTATAACTTAAAAAATACATAAATTCCTACTAAGCTTGAAATTTTAATTAATTTATAAAAATTTTAAAATTTTAAAATGTCAAAAAAAATTATGAAATCTTAAATGTATAGGTTCAATTCTATTGAATGCTAGACATACTCGTAGACATATTAATAATAAGCACTAATATTATAGCTATTTTTATATCATAGTAGTAAATGAGTAAACCTATTACATTTTATGACATTAACATAGTTAATATTACATTTTAAGTTAGGTTATTAGGTATTAAAAAAATTAGTCAACTGATTCATACCCAGAGCCAAATTGGCCAAGTGAGTTACAAAGTAAAACTCGGTGGGACTGAACAATTTTGGATCGTTTAAATCATGAGACTGCTGATTGAAAATATGTTAAAKGCTTAAAATTGAAAAATGGAGTATAAATTTTGGAGTTGCACAGACCAAAATACCATAATATATGGTTCTAGATATTTTTGRTATWAAGTTTGTAAGTGAGTCGATAATGCATGAAAAAACAGGTAGGTTGAATTTGTCCAATCYGGTCTTATTCATACTTTGTAAAGTAAGGGGTAGGTATATCTAAATGGCTGAATAAACATTTAAAAGATATAATTTGTTTTTTTAAATACTAAAATTCAGAAACTACGCATATAATATTAGCTCATGACCTTATGACACATTGCCGTTCTTTAATAATATTTTAAGTCAAATTATTTAATTTTAGAAAGTGCAAAAAGAAAGAATTGTTTTTGTTTGCTGTACTTGTAAAGATGTATATTATATTATCTTTTATATACATCATGAGTATATTATTCACACACTGTGTATATTAAAATRTATTTTATCTATMATTATTAGGTAATTTGAAACTAGAAATTATGGTAATATTATTTCAAATAATTTATTTGTTTTTGTTTTTTTTAATYATTTTAATTCCTGATCGAAAATATTATGTGCATACCACACAATATTTTAAGATGAAGCACAATTAAATCCTTGTTAAACAGTATAAATTGAAATAGCCAATTATGATATTTTGTAAATCGAAAACTGAACAAAAACAATATATCAAGTTTATAAAATAAATATTTTGGTGAACAATCTAACAATATAAAACCTACAAATTTCTAACAGTAGGTATTTATTTAATAATAATGTATGTATTAAACATTAAAAAGTACTATCTATTTTACCAAAACCCCAWCTGTRGGCTATAAGTAAAAWATATTAAACATTACTTTTATATAAACTTCAGAGGGTAATCCTTCTTCATTTCACTTTGAGCAATGTATCGAGACAATCTATTATAACGCGAATTAAAAAACATTTTATTGATATTTAAACTAAAAACATAAACTACCAAAAAAAATTAAATTACAAAAAAAA